ACATTTGTGTATTGTTGTCTTCACATTAAATTTCGCCAGTGTTGTGCGATAATTATGGCCTTATCCCCTTATTAGAAAGAAGAAATGCATTCACCAGAGCAAAAATGTTTAAATGGTACGGAAGACCACAGGCACGAGTATCGGACCTGGGAAGAAAAAATACGACCAGATTGATAAAAAAAACCTGTGTTCATCTTAAAAATGTCAAACAAAAAACAAAAAATGTAAATAATGACCCCCTTTAAAAATATACTATAAGTTAAGAGAAGGCCGGAAACTCCAGATTCGAGCCTACGAGCAAGGGATTCATTTCCCGGGCCGTTGTGAAAACAATTGGCCAGACAATTAAATAAAACTTTTATCACTATTTCACGTTTTTCTGTCTTCTCTTACCTGATAAGATATGGTTTAGTAATCATTAATGAAAAATTGAGTCAATACTGCTTCTCTTTTAATTTTAAAATTTGCTGTTCATGATACAATTACATTAATTATCGTGAATGTTTATGTTTTAAAAATATGTAAAAAAAAAGCATCTTATTATCACTCAAGGGCCAGCGTCCGAGGTTTATGAGACACTTCATTTTATGTACATATTTAATCCAATTTCACGATGCAATGTTTGTAAAATATGTAACATTAAATTTTATTCTATTACTTATGAATTCTAGTAAGATATTAATATATTTTGACCTCTATGCATGTCACCACTGCCTCCGCATATTCTGAGCCAGTTCAAATTAAAGTTGCAGCCAATAAATGGCAATTATCATTTATTGAATGTTCTCGCAAATATGTCTGTTTTTATCAAGAAGGTAGTATTTTTACACTTGAAAAAAGTACATGATACTTAATTCATCTGGATTAAACAGTGGTGGACCGTACCATTCCGTACCGTTTCGTGTTGCAACGCAATAAACCGTAAAAGACCGTGCTAATCCCTGCCTCTCCGTAGTACAACGTATTACGATCGTGGCTTTCCGTGACAATGCTGTATTTATCCGTATTAAAACCGTAGCTCCGTACAAATACGTAGTTCTCCGTACCAAACCGTGGAAATCCTTGACAAAGTAGTGGACTACGAATCAGTACGGACTAGTACGGCTTTCGTACGGACTAGTACGTATCAGTACGGTTTAATACGGACTAGCAGGGATACGCTACGGTTGATTTTTCCGTAGCAAATTTTTGTGCATGTTAAAAAATTGTCAAGGATCGCTTCGGATATACAAGGACTACTACGAATGATTACGGTTACAATACGGAGAGCTACTGACCAGTACGGGTAGCTACGGACGATGCCGGAATTCATCCGTGATCCGTGAGCGTATTCCGTGAATATGTGACCGGGGTATCACTGTAGTACTCCCATAAAATATTTTCTGCTATTTGTACTGGTACTGAATTACTGTCTCAAGATACTTCCTCCCTTATTTAGCATTGTTGTTTAGTTTTTTTTATTTTCCTTTCAAAGTGTAAATAGAAATGTTTACTTTTATAATCAAACACTGCAGTACAAATCTTGGTTTAAGAAAAAATTAAGTTAAAATAAGTATCTAAGATTTTGTTTGTTTATCTATGAACAAAACGAACGTAATAAAAAAGGCAGAGCTCAGTCGGTGTACGGACTAAAATTATCAATAATATAATAGACCTAGTTATAGTAGAAATTTATATTTACACTTTGATATGAAAATAAAAAAAACTAAACAACAATGCTAAATAAGGGAGGAAGTATCTTAAAACATAACTGAAACACGTGTTATATCCTTATAACGACTGACACTTTGTCAACCATTTTCATAGCGATTCCTCGCCTTACAAATTCATGAAAACGTGGCTTATTTGTGTTTGCTCTGAACATGTACGTTAGAGCTATTAATGACTAACTGAACTCGATAGTAGTGATCTATTAAATTTAATATGTTCCATTCATGGCATAATTTTGTTTCTGTTCTGCACCATGAATATCTTATTTTTCGAAAAACATAACATTTTGGCGTGAACAATCGCGTTACACGTACCTGCTCGGAAACATTTGTTCGCGGTAGAACTGAAAATATTCAATTTTGTCGAATTTTTACAAAAAAACACACGTTTTTAAATGTACATAACCGTGTGAAAAATCGTGATTGACCTCGAATAAGTGACATCCTGTATTATGCCATGCATACATGTGTATGATTCAATGGTCGGGCCTCATCCAAATTTCGAACATAAATAATGGAATCTACACGGCAGCCATAGGTGACACCTTCGCGATTACATTTATTACGCTATAGTCGTTGAAAGGATATCACACTTTATTAATTGTCTTTAGAAGGTATATATATCTCGGTCTTAACACTTGATCATGTCTATTTTAACTTCTATAGTTTTTATATATAAAAAATCATAGACTACGCTCCTCCTAAAACGTCAAATTAATATCGCCTTGCGCTCAACATCGAACCTTTTGCTCCATCTCTTGCCCTTCCGCTTCACTACTTTCGAAAAATATCGATTTACAAATTTAAGAAATCCTTCAGGAGTAATTTATTTTGCACGATGGACAAGTTCTTATTACGGGTTGACATTTTACTAATACACTTTTTCAAGAAATCCGAAGGGTATGGCATTTCTATGGTTGGGAAGTTCAATATTCTACAAATCATCGTTCGCTTCGTAAGGGAGAAAAGTTCTCCTGGGCTTAATATAATTTTCTTTTTGTAACAGCTTAGATCATTGGAAGCCCAAATTAATCCTACACGGAACTACATTTTCTATTTTTCGAAAAAATACAACTTAAATGAATAACAAGCAGAAAACATAAACAATACTTACAATTAGGCGTTTAAATCGGCCTTCCGCTCTATCTCGGAAATGCCGTTCGCTCGTTTTACCGTACACCACAATTTTGAAGTGGAGCGACAGTTTGCCGGGCGTGATAAAGAGAATCTTATTGCCGCTGTTGCTAAGGTGAATTATTTCGTCACAAACGCCCATTTACATACAGTTTACCAAGCAGACTAGGCTTACACTTTCTTTAATTTGACTCGTTCCAGTCTATCAGGTGTTAGTCAAATAACGTATAAATAATGTGTGTTACCAACGTAAATGACATTTGTATAATTAAAGTTCCGTCATATTGCATGCATTAATATGTACTGATAGTTGCTACATTCGTTTTCGTCCGATGATCAATTTACTTCAAATATTAGATATATAGTGTTGTTGAAATAAATGTGATATTGTGCTATTGTAATTTATTGTAATGGGTGCTTATTAAAAACATATGCTTTACTGATGAATACTGACAAACTTGCATTTATTTCATTGCTACGAATGTTTGTGTTTATGTTTCACTTTTAATAATACATGTACTTAATTTTTAATAATATATTTTTGTTCATTTATACTTGTAATTTGTAGTTGTAAGTGATTAACCGTCATTTCAACGGTTAAATATTGCAGCATTGCCGCTATCAACAAAAACAAACCTAGTTCTTATCACATTCAATCAGGCACGTGTATATACATGTACGAATGTCAACGTAATGGCGACAGATCCACGTAACTAGAATTCCGTTTCTCTCGAATTAAAATACCCAGTCCCTTGGATTTCGAGTTACCGAGAGTCAACTGTATTTCAATTTTAAATTATAGATTATATAGTCCATGTAAATAATCAATAACCCACATGAATCACAATAAATTCTATAGATATCATTCAGAAAATGACGTTTATGCACCGTTGATAAAAAGAGTGGGGCAGGCCTTTTATATTTCAGGCAATTTATCATATTTTATCCTTGACAATTTTCTAATCAACTATTGTTCAATGGACAGGATAATTGTCAATCTTTTAAAATATATAGTCAAAACGAACTCAACCAGACAGATTGAGCGTAATGTACCTTGACGATAGAGGTAAAACAGCGTATTTGACCTTATTAAAGCAATGTTCTTTATAATAACGGTAATAAAATCATGATATCACCTGAACATGTAATATATGGCACTAGTTAATGTTTTTCAATTCTTTAGTGTAGGGAGACACAGGAAAAATTTTCATTTTTAAGGAATTTTTCTTTCAATATTCTATAAATGTCCTCGAAACACACTTAGCAGTCAGAGGAACGAAACTTTTCTCTTTATAAAGAATAAAACGGTGGTTTCCCAACTTGACCAACGCGGATCAGGTTATAGCAGTTACACTATATAGAGAACTATGAAAACGTTAAAGTATCTTTCAAATGAATGACTAATACTTTTTATAATTTTTCAAAATGTAAGTTTACACTTATCCGTGTTTGTTGTAAACATATTCAATATATCGTCGATACAATATATAGATTGGAAATTCATTACGGTAATTAAAGGAATTTCGCTGATTCTACCCTTTTTTTTGCAGAACAGTAGACAACTGTAACCATCAATTTGTTGGTTACTGTTGTCTTATTGCTCGGCGAACGTAGTCGTAGGGGACCAGGACAGCGAAACAGTACGGTGTATGTTTTGTACTTTCGTTTCCGACAAAATGGCCGATAATCACTGTTGTTTTGCAAAATTTTAACAAGTATGAGTGTCCGAGTTTAAATGTAGATTATTTAAGATTTTATGTAAGGTAGAAGAAGAATGTTAACAATTGTCTAAATGCATGATGTCTAGAGAGTAGCAAAATAGCTTGTATTGTTAAAGAACTGGACATTGTGGTTGTTCCACAGCGTGTCCTAGTAAAGCTCCATAGCGTTACGGCGACTAGGTGACCTTTTCGTTGTAATGGTATAATATTATAGGGGGAAAAAATCAATTTTTTTCACTCAACCCAGAATAGTTATTTTGGTGTTGTTGGTTTTTGTTGTTGTTTTTTTTTTTGGGGGGGGGGGTGTTTTTTTTTAATTTCGATTTTTTTTATATGGGCACCAAGACTGGACGAACACCTGTGCGATTATTCTGACACGCACACGGATTGGTTTAGAAATAAACAAATTTAAATTTAGATTACGCCTAGAGAAATATACATGCTTCACCGAATACCATTCATATCTGCAGAACTAGTGGGATTACACTAATTTTGTCATATTCCTCGGATTTTAAAAGTCGAAAAAGTGTACTTTTCGCTGTTTTACAAAATGAGTAAGAAAGACGATGAAAATCGTTTTATAAAATGTGTTTTGGTAGGTGACGCGTGTGTTGGAAAAACTTGTATGTTGAAGACTTATACAACTAATATATATCCGACGGATGTATATCCAGGAGGATGGGATAATTATACAGGTGTGAGTTCTTAAAAATTGCATGTTTTCTAATTAATACACATCGGGTTTAAGTCTGCTGGATTTTTAAACAAACGTACTTTAAACCAAACTTTAGGCAAAAAGTTTTTTTTTCTTAAAATTATGTACACGTTTACTGTATATTGAAAATGATTGAAATAATGAACATTGTTAAAATCAGCAATTTTCCCTTTGTGTCTGATTTTCGTTTGACAGTTATAAGTTTTAAAACATAGACAGGAATATCCAAAGGTTTATGACGTAGGTTCAGATTTTCGTTTCCCGGTAAACACGTAAAATGTAGCCATGACATAACCCAATTCATTCTATTTAAATAAGTACATGTACATGTTATTCGTAAGATACTATTAAAAGGGCCTGATTGATTTCTCCCCATTTATTTTTTCCTTATTTCTTACGGAAGCCGTTGAGGCCGTTATGAGTTAGAAGTTAGAACTTAGATGTTAGATCTTAGAACTTAGATCTTAGAACTTATGTCTTAGCTCTTTGAGAACTTAGAGGCGGGAAAACGCTATATTAACTGCAAAATGGACAAAAAATGTAAGTGAAATTTATAAACTTTTTATTATATTTTTTTATTTCATCTTAATTAAAAATATTGCAGAGATATAGCTAATACGTTAAAAGATTAAGTGATTATATCTTTATATATAAGACAGTGGCGTACGCTTTATTTGAGTATACGCCAAGTTCAGGTCTTTGGCAGAAGGGTTGCCATAGACTTATACCAAATATAGCTTAAGGTAGCTGTTCAGTGGTATACCGCGGATTTAGGGGATATCTAAGCAATTAAATGTCATTTAATCGTACTACTATTGTTCCTATCATTATACAGTTATAAAAATAACATCAAGTGTATGTATTAGATGTAAGAGAAATTGCACAAAGTCTAACGTGTATACTGTTTTAAATAGTTCAAAACTTATTTACTACAAGAAAACCCGAACATAGCCAGGTGTCTCCAATATAATCAAGATGGGCTTTATTTCCTTTAAACAAGATTTTTTCTTTGTTATTTGAGATATAATGAAGGACAATATGCTTTACAATGATCTGTATAACGATAGTACAAACACAACGCATTAAATGTTATAGTGTAACAATAGGTTATTGTATTTTCAGCTAAATTGTAGTATCACACGATCATTAAGGTCCCATAAAAATATTTTTTAAATGCATATTATTTCAATTTTAAAAAAATGCATGTAGTTATGTCTTCTACTCTTTCATTGTTCATTCGAAATATTTAAGTTATTTTATTACTAATTGTCTAAAGCAATAAAATCATGTTGGTGTAAAAAGACTTGCCAACTCGTTACCTTAAGTTGGCTAAAAAAAAAGAATTGGGAAATGGCTGTATATTGTTCTCGTTGTATTTCAAATGTATTGATGAGACTGCGTAAAATCAAAAATGTATGTCATTGTTTGCAGAAGTATTTTATTTTATAATTTTGATTCGGCTAAAAAGAGGAGTGTTACAAAATTGGACATTTTATTATCATTTTTTTGGCTTTTGACGAGATCAATTTGCATTATAACATTTATTATTCAAAGCATAATTGAATCTGAAATAAAAGAGAGAAATTAGCAAAATCGTCTTCATATCATACTTTTACATTGTGTACATCGCCCCGAGGCTCTGTAAAAAGGCTAAGCATTTTGTTTTCTAAGTTTAAAAGCCTCATCCTCGCATTGGAATCTTAAGATAATTCAACCATGTCTCCTTAAGAACTTTGATTATTCGGCTTCCAGTCTGAAACAACGATATAATAATCCTGGCTTCCGTTTAATATACACATGCAATTCATATGTGCTTACTCCTTTCTGTCATAACTTTTGATTGTATATACATTATCAAAATAGGTAACACATAATCGAATTAGGTAACATACCAAGCATACCAAGCAGCTAAGAATGTGTTGATAGATCTACGCCGAATTATTTATTTAATTTTTGAAATCTTATTTTTCGAAACACTGTTCTTTCTATATACCCGTGCGTATCAACGTATCCGTAAGCCAATGTAAGAGGCGGGTAAAAAAACAACCATTTTCAATGAGAAGCAAAGGTCGCTCAAGCTAGGTTCAACAGGCTGGGATAAACTCCATTAGTGGCTATTTTAGCCAGTTCTAGCTATTTAAGTCTAACCTGGCTACCAAAAAATACGCCGATGGACACAAGCATTGAATCTAATATATGTTGCATGTATTTGTGTAATTCCCCAATCAGTATTTAAAATTGTGTATCTGTTTTATAATAATTAAAAATGTCGATTTTCTAATGTGTATAAAAATAATGTTTCTTTTTGCAGAATCCTCTTAATCCCTTTTCGGAAGATAAAAAAAAATCTCTAAATGGGCATAGAGGTTTGGAATTTTGGCTGTTTTTTTATAACACCAGTAACAAGTGTTAAAATCACAGATTTATTTGTCATTCTCAGAGGGGCGCATTTAACAACAGTAGAACTGATTAACTTTGTGTTGCTGGTTACGGTTCAAGTCATGTTGGGAGAGATCTGTACAGTCAACACATTTTATAGCTCTAAGTATCAAACTGCGACAACTCGCCCGCAGTGATTGTGTCATACTACCCAGACACATTAAACAAAATAGGAATTTCCCCAAGGCTCCTTCGTGACGTGAGAGGAACTGAAAATTCTCCGCTAGCATTGCTTCAACAATTTTTTCAGATAAAACGGCACAGACAGTGTATCAGGGTTGAAAAATTCTATGTATAGAAAGAGTGTAGCAAATCAGCGTTTAGAATCCTGGTAGGGATTACTAGTACTTCGTAGACAAGGTTGCACTGGTGGATTTCATTTTTCAAGTATCTTATTGATTTCAAAGATTGGATATAACAAATCGTGTACACATTGAATGGCTAAGATATTGTTTTATTGATTTGATCCAAACAGACCTCTGCATGATAAGCTTAACCCAAGAGAATTTTGAAATATCTTACGGAAGACCTAATATAATGTATTGTGTACCTGGAATCTATCGTGGGCATAAGTTTGGTCATCTCTGTTGATCAAGAAGACATACAGATATGCCAGAACTTTATTGATCACTTAATCGGCTTCATTGTAACTTGATCATCTGCTATCGTTGAATAACAGAAAGCTTCCGCCAGCTATTAACCGAATCGTTAAAGATCCTGTATGTTTTGTGATTGATATAGATACTGTGTATATACCTGTGTGTGTGTTTGCGTTTGTTTACCCTCGCCACCGGAAAGAGACCATATGGGCGAGTGTATATACCTTTTTTTTAAATGCGTTTATTTAAGGTCGCCGCCGGAAAGCCCATATGGGCGACCGTACGCTATAAAGTCGGGCCATCCTAGAGCGTCCCGCCGAGATTTTTTCGTCGATTTTTTTCCAGCTTTATTGGTGGAGGAAGACCCCAGGTGCCCCTCTGGGCATTCTTTCAGGCACGAGCGGGCACCTGGGTAGAACCACCGACCTTCCGTCAGCCAGCTGGATGGCTTCCTCACATGAAAGATTTCAACCCGAGTGAGGATCGAACCTACAGCGGTGAGGGATTTTGTGATCTCAAGTCAGCGACCTTAACCACTCGGCCACGGAGGCCCCACTCAGTGTATATACCACACTTGCAAAAAAATTATATTTGTAAATAATAATGCAAAAAACAAACAGTTTTCAAACATCGAAGAATAAGTAAAATATGTACTGCAAATATTTGTGCACCTTATATTTAATCAATAAATCATATGCATTCATTTCTTATTGGAAAATTTGACTTAGAATTTATAGAAAATAAATTTCTCATAACCTCCCTTTATCTACAGAAAATGTTAAATTCGGTAATATCTTTGTTAATAATGCTTATTGGAACTTACAATATTGACAAATCTTAATTTGAGCATCATATTTATGAACTAAAGCCATGAAAAAAATGTGTTACGGATCTTTAACATTGTACCTTGGATTTTTACAAATGATTGTGGAACATTTACAATGACTTAGAGCTAGTAAACACGTTATTGGATTTCGTATTGGCATTCATAATTGTTAATGAAAAATTATATTATTAATTATTGTATTAATTATATCATAAGTCTAAGAGAAGATTCATGTGATTTCAGACCTTTCAACATGTGTGTCCCAATAATACCTTTTGTGCTAAATGATGCCAGGAATCTTGTTGAAATACCTATTGAACTTTTTCATAATGACTATTAATGAGGAATGTATGGTGAAGTCAGAGATTCAATAAATGGCCCGATCAAAATATGTGTCTATTCTACATATTAAATTTTGTGCACTTTGCATCAGCGGTCAATCCTTCCGTGTTTCCATTTCTACTAGATCAGGATCACATTAGCCACTTAAATAATAGATAACCATTGCCTTAATTTTAACGAGGTGCACTTCTGTATTTATATTTGATGAAATTATCAGCGGTTTGATACTGATTGGGGTTAGGTACCATGATATATTATTATAAGACAATGATTTGTCTTATATAGACCCTTTCATTTCAGCGATAACAGTCAGGGAAGAGTTACTTCCCTTACCGGATGTGACGTAAATGGGGGATAATACTATATAGGCCGCATAGAATGTTAGCTTATTCAAAAGTAAATACTGATCGTTCAGTTATGATTATAACATGTAAAGATTTACTCATGCATACATAAATCCAATATCAAGACAATAAAGAAAATACAAAATCATAGATTGAGAATAATTATCGCTACGGAGTGAAACAGCAAAATTTCAAAGTGAATATATTTATTAGATTTTCTCTAATGCCAGGATAAAAAGCTAGTAACTAAATCAAATTTAAATATTTTATAAACACCCATACACACTGAAATTGTCTATTATAAATTAAAGTTGTCATTTTCTAGTTTTCTGTGTTATTTTCTGACATTTAGAGATTCAGGCATATTTGTAACAAACATGAAAATAAAATTGCAAATGTTTTTCTAATGATTCTTTTTCAAGCTTTAATA